GCGCTTCTGGCAAAACGTGGTACGCACTCGCGACTCGGCGCGCTTCTCTACCCCGTTTCGTAGTGGCAGCGAAATGGTGTCGTATGCTCTCTCTCCCCATCCCCCATCCCCCACCCCCCATCCCCCGTCCCCCGTCCCCTCTCCCCCTCTTCCCGAGCCTCTCCTCCGCCATTCCCATCCCTCTCTCCATTCGCCTCTCTCCCCTCTCTCCCCTCTCTGCCCCTCTCTGCCCCTATTCCCCTTTCCTCCTCCCTCCCACCCCTACCATCTCGGTACAGTGGCAGAGCGCAGTGGAGCAGCACGTGAAGGAGATCGTCTTTCCCGTCTCCTCCCCCTCTTCTTCTCCGCTTCTCTCGTCCCACCCTCCTCCCCGCCCCGTGAGGAGTCTATTTTTTGAGGCGCCTCCCCGCCCCGTTCCCCCTCTGTCCATCCCCCTGTGCTGTGCGGCTCTAACTGCAAGTCGACTGGCCTGTGCACAGCAGAGCAGGATTCGACTGACTTGGGGCGCCTATTCTTGAGGCGCCTCAAAGAACTGACCCCCTCCTTCCACGGCGCCCTTCCTCGTCCCTCTTGCCGTTTGCCCCCCTTCAACAGCCGTGCAACTGCGGGCCGATCCACCACTGCACGGTGGGCGCAGGACGTGAAGGTGCTGGAGCATCTCACTTATCTGAACCCCCTGCACCCAACTACACCCCCTCTGCACCCCCCTGCACCCCGGTGTTCTCCCCCCTGTGCAGCTTTGGCAACTGCGGGTCGATCCGCCACTGGCACGGTGGAGCAGGACGTGAAGGTGCTGGAGCACCTCACCTCGCTAGACGTGGAGGAGAATAAGGAGGGCGATCCGGGTTATACCATCATCATGGTGAGACGTGGTTACCACAATGTGGCATGAGGTTACTACATAGAGCAGGACGTGAAGGTGTTGGAGCACCTCACCTCGCTAGACATGGAGGAGAATTAGGAGGGCGACCCGGGCTATACCATTATCATGGTGAGACGTGGTTACTATGGTGAGACGTGGTTACTTTGGTGAGACGTGGTTACTTTGGTGAGACGTGGTTACTTTGGTGAGACGTGGTTACTTACTGTGGTGATATGTTGCTTCAAGTCAACCGCCTTTGCCACCAATGACTCTTTCGCAGAGCTGCTCAACTCATGCTCATGCAACACATTATCTCATCCCCCCCTCCCCCCCCCTTCCCCCCTACCGCCTTCTTCCTCCCCTCCCCATCTCATCCCCCCCTTCCCCTCACGGGGCACCCGGCAGACCTTCGCCCGAACCCCTTCTTCAGCAACGAGTCGCTCTCGGCGGTCGCTGGTGATGCAGGACGACCTCACGCTCAGAGTCACGGGCACGCGGATCGCCTGGAAGGAGGGGCAGGTGAGGGCGGGGGGGAGGAGGGGCAGGTGAGGGTGGGGGGGGTTTTGAGTCGACTCAAGAGTCACGGGCACGCGGATCACCTGGAAGGAGGGGCAGGTGAGGGGGGGGGGAGGACGTTGGGGTTGGGGTTGGGGTAGGGGTTTGGTGGGTGGAGGCTCTTATTTGTTCGCTGGCAATGCAGTGCGAGTCTTGAGTCTTACTCTGATCGCCACCGGAAGGAAGAGCGCGAGGATTGACTGGAAGGAGGGGCAGGTGACGAGAGCAGGGGCGAGAGCAGGGGAGAGAGCAGGGGCGAGAGCAGGGGCGAGAGCAGGGGAGAGAGCAGGGGCGAGAGCAGGGGCGAGAGCAGGGGCGAGAGCAGGGGCGAGAGGGGACGGGGTAGGGTAATGGTTATAGGAAGAAGGGGTTGACACGATGAGAGGTGCGGGGGTAGGGTAGTGGTTACCCGTCCCACGCCCATGCCCCATGTCCCATGCCCATGCCCCATACCCATGCCCCATGCCCATGCCACATGCCCCATGCCCATGCCATGCCCCATGCCCATGCCCATGCCCCATGCCCATGCCCATGCCCCATGTCCCATGCCCCATGCCATGCCCCATGCCCCATGCCCATGCCCCATGCCCATGCCCCATGCCCCATGCCCCATGCCCCATGCCCCATGCCCATGCCCATGCCCCATGCCCCATGCCCCATGCCCATGCCCCATGCCCCATGCCCCATGCCCATGCCCCATGCCCCATGCCCATGCCCCATGCCACCATGCTGTTTCGTGCTGCTCCCTGCTCCCAGGACTACACGGCAGGCATCAAGGCGTATGTGGAGGATGAGGAGGAGGAGGATGAGGAGGGCAAGGAGCAGCTCGTCAGGTGATTTGGCAGATTGTCAGGTGTCTTAACAGCCTGTTGGGGCAATTTGGCAGCTTGTTGGTGTTTTAGGCAGTAGTTCTTTCAGCCACCAACAAGCTTTCTTCTCCCTTCCTCTGCCTTGTGTCCCCTTCCCGCTTTACCTTCACCCATAATAACCCTCTTCTCCCCCCCCTCCAACCCTCCATGTGCGTGCAGTTTGTTCAGCTGGCTTGCGTTTGGAGACGATGACCCCATCCCGGTCACTGCCGATGATGTGAGAGAAGGGGGGGGAGAGACGGCGAGAGAGGGGGGGAGAGATAGCGGGGGAGGGAGAGCGTGGGAGGGGAGACAGGAGGGGGGGTTAATGACCCTGTTCCGGTCACTGCTGAAGATGTGAGGGGAGGTGGGGTGGGGAGAGAGGGAAAAAATAGAAGTGTAGAAGGGGAGCGGGGTTTTAAATTGACGGGTCGGTGATGACCCCGTGTCTGCACTGCGGATTATGTGAAAGCGGGAGTGGAAAGCGGGGGGGGAGAGAGGTGTGGAAGGAGAAAGGGGATTTCCATTGAGGGGTGTGTGATGACCCCATTTTTGTCACTGCCGATGATGTGAGAGGGGGAGTGGGAAGAGAAAGGGGGTTGGGATGGGGGGGTTACACAATGACCGATTCCAGCCACTGCTTATTCGACCGGAACATTCTTTCTGTCCGCTCTGCCGCTGCCGCCTTTTTTGTCTCTGTGATTCAGATTGGAAATGCTATTCGGGAGGAGATATTCCAAAACCCGTTGAAATACTACCACAAGGTGAGAAGTTTGCTTTCGAGTCTTCACAAAACTCATTGAAATACTACCACAAGGTGAGAAGTTTGCTTTCGAGTCTTCACAAAACTCATTGAAATACTACCACAAGGTGAGAAGTTTGCTTTCGAGTCTTCACAAAACTCATTGAAATACTACCACAAGGTGAGAAGTTTGCTTTCGAGTCTTCACAAAACTCATTGAAATACTACCACAAGGTGAGAAGTTTGCTTTCGAGTCTTCACAAAACTCATTGAAATACTACCACAAGGTGAGAAGTTTGCTTTCGAGTCTTCACAAAACTCATTGAAATACTACCACAAGGTGAGAAGTTTGCTTTCGAGTCTTCACAAAACTCATTGAAATACTACCACAAGGTGAGAAGTTTGCTTTCGAGTCTTCACAAAACTCATTGAAATACTACCACAAGGTGAGAAGTTTGCTTTCGAGTCTTCACAAAACTCATTGAAATACTACCACAAGGTGAGAAGTTTGCTTTCGAGTCTTCACAAAACTCATTGAAATACTACCACAAGGTGAGAAGTTTGGCTTTCGAGTCTTCACAAAACTCATTGAAATACTACCACAAGGTGAGAAGTTTGCTTTCGAGTCTTCACAAAACTCATTGAAATACTACACAAGGTGAGAAGTTTGCTTTCGAGTCTTCACAAAACTCATTGAAATACTACCACAAGGTGAGAAGTTTGCTTTCGAGTCTTCACAAAACTCATTGAAATACTACCACAAGGTGAGAAGTTTGCTTTCGAGTCTTCACAAAACTCATTGAAATACTACCACAAGGTGAGAAGTTTGCTTTCGAGTCTTTCACAAAAACTCATTGAAATACTACCACAAGGTGAGAAGTTTGCTTTCGAGTCTTCACAAAACTCATTGAAATACTACCACAAGGTGAGAAGTTTGCTTTCGAGTCTTCACAAAACTCATTGAAATACTACCACAAGGTGAGAAGTTTGCTTTCGAGTCTTCACAAAACTCATTGAAATACTACCACAAGGTGAGAAGTTTGCTTTCGAGTCTTCACAAAACTCATTGAAATACTACCACAAGGTGAGAAGTTTGCTTTCGAGTCTTCACAAAACTCATTGAAATACTACCCACAAGGTGAGAAGTTTGCTTTCGAGTCTTCACAAAACTCATGTGAATACTACACATCAAGGTCTGAGTTCTTTAGGCGCCTCAAAAATAGACTCCCCGCAAGGTGTGAAGCTTGCTGTGGCTCCTTCCTTCCCCCTCTTACCCACGTCTCTTCTCTTGCTCACCCACTCAATCACCTGCTTCGGAAAATGTGAAACCAGACCACCCCATACCAGTATCCGTTCCCCCTTCTGTGCACACCCCTTACGCTCACCCACAGGAGGGAGTGAGGCCGCGAGAGGAGGTGGAGGAGGGGGAGGAGGATGATGAGCCGGAGTATGCGTTCGAATATAGCGGGGACGAGGGGGAGGAGGGAGAGGAGGGCGAGGAAGGGGAGGAAGGAGATGACGATGATGAGGTACGACGTTGTAAGATTGATGGGTGTGTTTATGGTGGCAATGATGGCAATGTTGCCAATGATGAGTGGTATGGCATGATGCTGGTAAGGCACACGCAGCAGCAAGCAAAACAATGGCATGCTGACTTGACTCGTGTCTCTTCCCTGCTGGCATTGGTGTGTGGCAGGCAGAGGAGGCGGATGACTAACTAGGCGAGTTACGGTACATGTGCGGGGCTGAGTAGCGGATTACAGGTTCCTTGCTCGCTCACTACCGATGCTAGACTCACTAAGACACAAACTGCTACTGGCGCTTATAGATCTGCAGTGACAACACTGGTGTATGCACTGGCTTATATTCAACTTCTTTTGTGCCCACTGCATTCCATGTGCCGTGATGCACACTCTTTCTGCGAAGCATTGAGTATAAGCATTCAGTACTCAAGACAAGACAGGTTGCAGTATTGAGCGTCAATGATGTTGCAGTGAAAGAAACCAAAGCTTGTGCACCAAAGCCAAAAAGTTCCAGGGAGCTAGCAAAAGAGACCAACTACTGTAGGACGAGAGACAAGGTGTCTCATCATGACCCATGGTCATCTTGCCATGATCTAAGGTAGTCCTATAGCATGCATCTCCACATCACTAAATACCCATGCTTCTTACTGTACTAACCTGCTTACTCTATGGCCATGAAAGTTTCCTACTGCCCATAAGACATGCGCATGCCAGCATGCCCCGTACTGTGAAACGCAGCACTGCTACCACTGCCGCCATTGCCCCTAGACGAGAAGCTCCCAATGCCGCCGCTGCTTGCAGGGAGGGAGAAGCTGTCCAGCGAGGCAGCAAGGGACCTCTTGGTGCAGTCATAGGGACCCACCTCAGCCTTGCGCACCTGAGGGTACGGAGATAGGTGAGGGGATGAGGAGGAACGTCATGAGAAAAGAGAGGCAAGCGGGCGAGGGAGAAGCTGTCACGTGAAACAGCAAAGGGACCTCTTGGTGCAGTCGCAGGGACCCACCTCAGCCTTGCGCACCTGAGAGGACAGAGGATGAATGAGAGAGGAAGAGCAAGAAATAAGTTACAAGAGAACGATAAAGTGGCGAGGATTGGAAACAGAGAGCTGATAACAGAGAGACAGAGAAGCGAGAGAGCCAGAAATAGCATTTGCCGAGGGACTAACTGGTGGCCAGGGGTTCTTGGGTGGTGACGACTAGAGACCCACCGGTGACCAGGGGTTCTTGGGTGGTGACGGCTCCTTGGTCATTAATGGCGAATTCCTCACCCTTCCTCCTTTCTTCTCAAGAGCAACCTGAAGAGCAAAGCACATCCACAGAACACAATCGAAGGCAGTGAGATCCACGAGGGAAGAAAACAGGATGGGCGGAAAACTTGTATGCATTCACAGAATGCATTCACCAGCAATCATGCAGTCAGCATTTGAGGAGACTCTGACGCAGGCAACGCACGCAGCAGCAGCAGCAGCAGCAGCACCGCACACTCACCACTCCCAGCGCCTCTGCCTCAAGCACCTTCCGCATAAACGGGTCCAGGGCCTCCGCCTTCGCCCCCTCTGCCCCGACCACCTGCTTCTCCCCACTCCCAGGAGGAGTCACCTCCCCTGCTCCCGCCACCCTCTCCTCCCCCCCTCTCCTCTGCCTCAGGGGAAGCAGGCGCAGTGAACATGCCCCTGCCAGACGCGCCAATGGACCGCTGGCCACACCCTCCGCCTTCTGGGCGAGAATACTCCTACTCTCGCCCTCCCCCTCCCCCTCCTCAGGCGAGGCGGGCGCAGTGTACATGCCCACTTCAGAGGACGAGGTCGCTCCAGACTGCTCGCTGCTGCTGAAGAGGGCCGCCTTGGGGAACTCTGGCTGGGATAGCTCTGCCCTTGGAAGGTCCACCTTGAAAAGGTCGGCCTTGGGAAGGCTTGCTTTGAAGAGGCTCCTCCTGGGAAGAGTGGGGCTTTCAGCCGCTGGAGTTGGTACTGCCTCTTGGTAGCTTTCCTGCTCCTCCTCTCCTGCTGCTGCTGCTGCTCTGCTGATGATGATGAGCGGCCCTTTGCTGCAGTCTCTGGCGTCTTGCTCTCCGTCGCATGGGCTTCCTGTGCTTTCTTGCTGGATCGCTTGGGGCTCTGCACGAGAAATGACAGGTAGAGAAGCGTCAGGACGCCTTACCCGCAATGCATTCAAATGGTGAGAATCATGCGGACGGGACAGCTAGCGAACAACACGAACCTTCCAGCAAGGAGCATTGGAGTGTCAAGGGTGCCTATACCTTGAACAAGCTTGCGATGGGGGATCCAAGGAACCGAGGAGGCGAGGTGCGCCGCTGCTTGCTGTCGCCTCCTCCCTTGCTGCCCGGCTGCCCCCCTGACGCTGCCACTGCCACTGGAGTGCCATCGCCACTGGAGTACCCGTCCCCACTGAAGCAGCCATTGCCCCTGGAGCAGACATCGCCCCTGGAGCAGCCATCGCCCCTGGAGCAGCCACCACCACTGTTGTATCCACTGCCCCTGCTTTCTGCTCTGAGTTGCTGGGTGGGGTTCTCCTTCTTTCCACAGCCGTCTTGCGTCCATCTTGCTCACAGCCGTCTGGCGTCCCTGCTGTCTCCAGCACCTCGCCCACCCACTCCCCACCTTCTCAGTGCTCGCCCACGCACCCTCTCGCCCTCATCCACCCTCCAGCCTTCCCTGGCGACTTCTGTGGAGTGCACAGCACTGACGCGTCACTCTCCTTCTCCTTCATCGCCTCCTTCTCCTCTTCCCTCAAGCAGTTCGCCTTCTCCTCTCTCTCCTCTCTGCTGCCACCTTCCTCGCTGATTTCTTCCAAGGGCTCCCTCCAGCAACGAATGCCCCAATCGCCTTGAACGACAGTCCCTTCCTTCCCTTCTCGCACTCGCCCCCACTCTTGGTCCCAGGCGTCTTGTGCCCCTCATCCGCCCCATGCTCCTCACCCTCTCCGCTGGGCACCCCGCCAAACCCACTCACCACCTTGCCACCAGCGTTCACATCACTGCCTGCCTTCTCCTCACGCTCACGCCCTTCATATCCAGCATTGCAAACGCAGCCATCACCACCGCCCCCTGCTGCGCATCCTGCCCCTGCTGCTCCGCCTGTCCGTCCTTGTCGGCCTGGTGCTGCCCCTGGTGCTGCCCCTCCCTCTCCCTGCTGAGCTGCTGCCCGGCGTCGCTGCTCCTAGGGGTGGACATGGCCGAGAACGCAGCGTCTGCCGTGGCAACGGCGGAGGGTTGCGCCACGCCTCCCGGGATCCACGGGCTGCCACTGCCCGCCTTCTTCTCCACCCGCGGGAGGGCTTCTGCGAGCTGCTGCTCGTGCGCGAGCTGATAGGGGTGTTTCTCTTCTGTGATGGGTCGCTCTCTCGACTCGCCCGAGGGGTGACAGCCTGTGACACACAGCAAGACACTAGTCAGTGTGGGGGGGGAAGGAAACGAAGCTAACTACCGACTCCTCCAGTCATGTTAGCCTGGGAAAGGGGGTCAACACATTCACACCCACCTCGGCTTTGGCCTGGGAAGGTCCTGCGTGGGCCTGCTGCGTCTTGTGCGGACCAGCTCGCCCCTGCGTCGCCTCCATCTTAGCACCCGGACCAGAACCTTGCGCCGCCTTCCCTGCCGGCTTCTCACTCAGCTTACCGACTCCAGCCTTCGCCCTGAAGCACCACTCCGCCAAACCAAACGGCCAGTAGCTTTGGGCACCGGAATTTTGGAGCTGAGTCCCAGCAGCTTCGAGTGGTTGGCGGCCACTCTCAGCGCCGCAGCAAGAGGGGACGTGGACGCAGGCGCCACCTTTTCCTTGGCAAGAGCACTGCCCTTGCTCGCCACCATCTGCTTCCCGCTCGCCACTTTGCTGTCTGCTGCCACCCGCTTCGCTCCCCCTTGCCCCATGCCTGCTGCTGCGACCTGACTGCTGCGAGCGACCTTCGCCTCCTCCTCTTTCTCCTTGGAAGCCGGTGCGGCCTTTCCGCCAAGGCCAAACCCAAACCGTGCCTTTCTCGCTCCCACGCCGCTGACCCTCCGGGCCGTAGCAGCGGGAGCCCTTTCTTGGCAGCAGCGCCATCATCCGCCTTTCCAGCGGCAAACTTGAGGCCGAACAGACCACCCCCACCCCCCCTCCGCTGCTACTGGCAGTACTCGCCCGTGGAGCACCAGAGGCTCCCGACGCTCCCTCCGTGGCAGCAGCTTTCACATCCTTGATCAGCGTCCGCGGTTTCGCAGAAAGAGCAGTGCGAGCAACAGCAGCGGCCATTTTCGCAGTTACAGAAGTCGCAGCGGCGGAGAACGTAAACCCCGCAGCTGCTGCGACGCGATTCCCGCCGTGATTCCCGCCACTCCCTATCCCACCGCGCCAACACGCTTCTCTGCATCAGCAGAGGTGCCAGTGGAGCGGGTAGACGACGTCCGCAGCATGGCCAGCCCAGATCCCCACGCCAGACGACGCAGCCACATGCCCATGCGAGCGGCCAGCGGGAACGAGACTCGTGCTGTGGCTCGTCGACTTCGGCCCTGCTCTCGCCCCCACTGCTCCCGGAGCAGGCCTCCCTCCGATGTTCACACCCGCTCGTACAGGTGCCCTGGGGGCCCCTCCTCCTGTAGTCTCGCTGCCCGAAGGCCGAGAACTGGCCACTTGAGCCTGCCTCTGCTGCTGCCGCTGCTGCTGCCAATCGTGCAGCTGCTGCTGCTTAGAGTCACTCGAGCTCCGCGCGCTGCTCACACTCCAGACGAGCCTCGCGGAGCGGCGGTCAGCTGCGACGGCAACGGCTCCCGCGGGACGGCAGGCTTCATCGGGGACGGCGCACACGCGCGCATGGCCTTGGATCCGCGACCCACCATACCGCGCAGGGGCCGACAGGAGCGTCCGCAGACTTGGCCACATTCTCCAGCCCCGACGACGCGGACACGCGAAGATTTACCGTCGGATTCTCAGCGCTCAAAACAGCTAAGTCCACCGGCCCGGAGTGAGATTCCGCGGGCGCTGCATCCTCAGCTGTGGCTGCATACTCGGCTGTGGCTGCATTCTCGGCTTTCGCTGCGTGCTCAGCCGTCGCCATCCATTGCCAACTGTGTACCGCAATCGTCGACCGCCCCGATCACGTCCCCCTCCCCACAGTTTTCAAAGCTGGCGCTCGACCGGGTCGACCAGCATCGAGCGATTCTTCAGGACGCACCGATAGCCCAGCGTCGTTCGATTCCGATTCCTCCGCGCCTGTAGACGATTCGAAGCGGCTGTTCAAATCCACCGTGCCGCGCACGAGGCAGGGAGTATTGACGAGGCACCCCCGCCTCCCTTGCTCGAAAGCCCTGACGAGGCTGCCTGACGGGAGTGGCAGGAGCTACCGGACCCTGCCGTCGGCCTCTTGCTCCGCTCTGCAGTCCGTGTCACGTGCGAGACGGTACTACCACCCTGCTTCGACAGGCTGGACGAACCGACACCGCCGGCACCTTGCTTTGCGAGCCTAGAAGTGCTCACGCCACACTGTGCTGCCTGCTTGTGCTTGGGGCTGTCGTCGTTGCCGCTGACCTGGGGGTCCTGCTCGAACTCGCGGGTGTCTTTGCGCCTGGAGCGGGGGACATCCCTGCTCCCTTCGCCGTCCTCGCATTCGACGATGGAAACCCTGAAATCGCACAGATACGCATGCGATCCGCTATGCTTAGGAGCAAGCACTTGTGCAAAACGGAAGGCCAACAAATGAACGAGATATTGGCACTTACGAGGTGCTGCGCCGGGCAGTTTGAGTCGCGTACTTCCCTGGCCCTGCTCTGACCCTCCTTTGTCGCACTCTTCGGGGCCTCCACAATGTTGCTCTTCTCTACGATGGCCGCTATTTTCTGCTCGCTCGTCATCCTCTGGTGGTCGGCAGCAGCACGTGGTGCACTGCACGCTGCGTCCGGTGCATCCTTCGGCTCAAGAGCATGATCATGCGACGACTGAGTGGCGGGTTTCTTTGCAGTTGTGTTGTTGGAGAAATGCCGGCGGAATACATGGGGAGGAAGGACAGGTCGACCGGAGGGAGATCTGGTAGAGCCGGGGGGTTGCTGCTGTGGCGCGAGGTCGTCATCATCGTCATCGAGGTCCAGAAGAGACTCTGCGTTGGAAGAACACAGAGAGAACACAGGTGAAACACAGAAACATGAATCTCTGCTATCGCCATGGTATGTATGGATGTTGAGAGACTTAGATACTGAGGGAAAATTTCGGTTTCATAATACTAGCCTCGTGGTTAGGGCAGCACGAACCTGCATTCTTGTTGAAAAATGCCTCGTTCCAGGCAACGCTGACGCGACGATCCTTCAGGGCGGATTTCGGCTCAAGAATCTTAGCAGGTCTAGAGCCGCTTGGAGCGAATTCAGAGACAGATGGAGCGGGTTCTGAGCCACATGGAGCGGATTCTGAGCCGCTTGGAGCGGACTCAGCTGCGCTTGGAGCGCTTTCAGAGTCGGCTGGCACGGACTCAGAGTCGATAGGAGCGGATTCAGAGCCGCTTGGAGGGTACCTCGGGGAGGCTTTCTTAGACGTGGCACACTCGGGGTCTTCGGGCCAGTCCAAGTCGGTCATTCGCTCCATGATAAATCCGTCGTCGATAAATTCGCCGTGCAACTCGTCGTCATTCAAAAGCCCTGCGAGATTGAAAGTGAGCCTTCAGAATTTTGAAAAAGAAAGAGGATGAAATGCGAGTTCACGTAAACGTTCGGTTCTCACCTTCGTCTTCCAGGAAGGCGTTGTTCCATGGCAGGCTCTGTCGCGCGACGCTCCGTCGGCTCTTTCTCATTGCAGGCGTCGGTGTCGGACCGAACTTAGGCGTGGCGCTGACGTTAACTGAAACTGGAATCTTGACGTTATTCTCATTGTTCTCCACTAGGTTGAAGTTAAAACTCGAGGAGTGATTCAGATTACCGGGACCGGAGATTTCTGGCTGCACGCTGCTCAGAATGTCGCCTCCACCAGCAGCGGCGTTTAAAACTCGCTTCTGAGGTCGCAACGGGGTTATCGCAAAGTCAAATTTCCCCAGAAAGTTCTGGTTCGCTTTATCTGCATGTAAGAAAGGCATGTTAAGTTAGACGACTTCTAGAAATATGATTCATTAGATTCAGCAGAAGCGTCGAGAAAGTAATTTTACTAACCAAAAGCTGAGAGCGTGTTCAGACTGACGCTTCCTAGAATCGAGTCGTCTGTCTCCATTGCTGATCGCAATACGTGGTAGACTAGTAGACTGTCCGACGAGATGTCAGATCGGATTCTGAACTGTTTCAACTACCCCATAAAAGTGATCGCAACTATGGTGAAATTAGCCAGAGAAGGTAATGGCTGCCGGAAGCTAGGACCTAGGGGACTACCGACCAAAGGTGACCAAGGACGTAAGACTAGCTGTGTGACTTCCAGCAGCCTGACCTGGGGATTGTCGACGATTTTGCCTAGTGATTGTCATCAGTTTTGCCTGTTTCGCTAAGAGGTGCTCAGCTGTTTCGCCTTGGTGTTGGCAGTTTGGGCACGAGCAGCAGAGAGTGCAAGGAGGGTGGAGCCGCGAAAGTCTGATTGGTTTCAGGTTTCAGGCGGTTCGGTTCACTGAATGCCTCTGCCACAAAGTTGGCGGGAACTTTTGAATTCCTCGGTGCTGCAGGCGCGAAGTGGCAGGGGGGTGTTTGAAATCCGCGTTATTGAACACATTGTTCCTACGAGAGTAATGCGTACACCCATCAGGTAGGTTATGTAATGCATCTCCAACATTTTCAGCTCACCCGAATTATTTTCGAGAGGCATCATTCCGCATCCTTCCTTCTGTTCATGCTAAGTTATTCCACATCCCTAGACTATTCCGCAGACTTCCTCGTCCTTCCCTTCGTTGGCGTAATGGCGGCGGCTGATCCTGCTCCAGCGCTGGTGGCTCTGGACAACGCGATCGCGCAGATCGATCTCCTCATCTCCCGCCTCCGCTTCGTCCACCTCCTCAGCTGACGTTCCCGTTGCCGCCCAGCCGAAAGCAGCAGTGGCTGGAAGCAATGGCGAGAAAAAACGTCGGGGAAGGCAAAACCTGCGAAGCCAGGTGATCCACTATCTGCGGAAGCAAGTAATAGCGTAGACATTTTTGTTCACATTGCACATGATCGTTACTCGCCGTTCGTTTTATTACTGTTTTCAAGGTTCGTTCCGCTGATTCTCCTGACAACGTTTTCCTCTCCGCCTGTGCCTCCTCATCCAGCAGCTGTCCCAGCGTCGGGCGGAGAGAACGTAGACAATTTCGACAAGTGCGACATCAGGGTGAGCGACAGAAACCGTTAAGTTTTGAACGCGTTTCATAAACAGATCCCATTCCCTTATCCCCTCGTGCTCGTGGCATTTCGTGTTCACCGCGTTTCCTCCCCCCTCCCCACCTCCCCTCCCCCCCTTCCCCCGCGCGCGCAGGTGGCGCGGGTGCAGGCGGTGGAGGTCCACCCAGTGGCGGAGAAGCTGTACGTGTGCAAGGTGGAGGTGGCGCCGGGGAGGTGCGCCAGGTGGTGGCGGGGCTGCGCAAGTTCGTCCCCCAGGCGGAGCTGCAGGGCCGCCTGGTGTGCGCCGTGTGCAACCTCAAGCCCGCCAAGCTGGCGGGGCAGCCCAGCGAAGCCATGATGCTCGCTGGCTCGCACCCGGCTGCAGAGGCCGAGGGGGGCGAGATTGTGAAGGTGAGGATGTGTTTGACTAGACCCAGGGGAATAGAAGCTGCTGGTGTGTGAGGCGTGCAACATGAAGCGCGCCAAGCTGGCAGGGCAGTCCAGCGACGCCATAATGCTTGCTGGCTCACTCCCTGACCCCGAGACAGAGGCAGGGGAGGTTGTGAAGGTGAGGATAGGGCGGTGTGACGGTGTCTCGGTCGCAGCACATGTGGTGCATAAGGATCCTCTTGTGTTGATGCATCTGAATCCACAGTTTTCCACCACCAACTCAACCTCCTAATCTCAACCACCAACTCATCCCATCCCCACCCACCCCACCCCGCCCCACCCCTGTCTCGTCCCAACAGCTCATTGATCCGCCCCAAGATGCAGCAGTTGGCGACAGAGTCTGCATCCAGGTACCATGTCTTGCTACCCTCCTGCTTGTGCCTACTCCCATCCCATGCATGCCTACGCCATATGAATGCCCTTCTAACCGACCACATGCGCCGACTCCATCCATCTCAATGCCCACATCACATAGTCCATCATGATGATGCACATCATAGCCCACTCGCCTTCAATTCTTTCCCCTTGCTCAATATCCCTCTCATCCCATTTACCTTCTCATCGCATTTACCCCTCCCTCTCATCCCTGTAACCCCAGGGTCGGCCTGCTAGTGCGGCCCCTGTGAAGCAGCTCAGCTCAAAGTGTGGGAGAAGGTTGCAGGCTTGCTCCGAGTGCAAGGTACTACCACTGCGACACCCTTGTGCTGACGCATGCACGTCCATGCAGCCGAGAAGTTCTCCGCAATAAATGTGCATTCACTGATTGATACGCCTCTTGTGTGTATAAGAACTGTGTGTTCACTTCCCTTGCGTGTGTCTGTTTTTCATTATCCAGGAGGAGCTGCGACATTCGATGGGCAGGCATTGGTCACAGGGGCGGGTGGAGGCATCACTGTGCAAGGCCTGGTTGATGGCAGCGAAATTCACTGAATTGATAGTGACATACCACATCAATGCTGCACATTATGCATGACTATGATGTAGATAAGCATGTACCAGATGTTGTAAAACTACCCTAGTGGATGGCATTTCGTTGTAGCGTCACAAATACGTACGGTATGTTACCTCAGCAAGCCGCACCCCAAAGGTTGTCCCATTTCCGTGGCTGCGATCAGCAGTTCTGCTTGAACAGAGTCCTCCCAGGAGATAACAGCACATATGCTGACTTGATGTGTTTTACCCTAGAAAATCATTTACATTATCACACATGCATACATTTGTGTATATAAGCATCAGATTACAATACACCCTATTCCTACCCTACTCTACACTCTACACTACAATCTTGCATGCTGTTGGGTGACCACATCCTGGTCCAGGCATTGAAGTGGATTGGCGCTAGCGATGCTCACGCAGATGGTTCTACTGCAAGAAGCAGGAGTGCCGTGCCATAGCACAGCACACCCATGCTCATCCCTTCCACACCAGGCTCACCCCCAGCTTCATGTGGGGCGGATTCATCCATCCACGCCCACATGCATGGTTGGGCTGCAAGCTGAAAGAGACATGCGACCCACAACATGCAATGGGTAACGATCGTGAGCCACCACACCCATGGTTGGGCTGAGAGGCATGCAGGCAACATGCGATAACGATCATGAGCCACCACACCCACCACCACCCGCTGTGCTGGGCTTAATCGCCCATCACATGGCCAATACATGGGATGACACATGATACATACACCATGGCACACCACCACCACGGGATGATGCACCATGGCACCACACCCACCACTATGGGATGGTGCTTGTGGCAATCATGCTGGTGGGAAGTGGTCATAGGCAGTGGAGGTGGACGGTAGTGGTGCTGGTGGGGTGTGGCAGAGGGATGGTGAGAACCCCAAGGTAAGCAGAGACCCAGGCAGGGGAATAAGGTTGAAGCACCAGCGCAAGGCAATCGAGAGACAAGAGAGGGGGTTGAACCCCCAGGTCAAGGCGAGTATAAGGCAAAGGAGGGGGGTTCCCCTGCCCCATGCTCGCATTAACCCGAGGGTATCAACCCCCTCCCCCCCTGCCCCTCGCTTGCCTTAAAAGGGCACTCCAATCCCCTCCCCCTGCCTGGGTTTCACCAAACCCAGGAGGTTCTCACCTCCCCTCTGCCATATCCCACCACCACCACAACCCCCCACCTTCACTGCCCATCAACAACTTCCCACCAGCACCATCACCACCACTTCCACCACAACCATTTCTCAACCACCAACACTTCTCACCACCACCACCAGCACCCTACCACCACTTCACACACACCAGCACCACCACCATCACCACCACTTCCCACCACCAACACTTCTCACCACCAGCACCATCACCACCACCACCACAACTTCACACCAGCCACCACAACTTCACACCAGCACCACCACCAGCACCACCACCATCACACCACTTCCACCACCAACACTTCTCACCACCAGCACCACCACTTCTCACCACCAGCACCACCACTTCTCACCACCAGCACCACCACCTCTCACCACCAGCACCACCACTTCTCACCACCAGCACCACCACTTCTCACCACCAGCACCACCACTTCTCACCACCAGCACCACCACTTCTCACCACCAGCACCACCACTTCTCACCACCAGCACCACCACTTCTCACCACCAGCACCACCACTTCTCACCACCAGCACCACCACTTCTCACCACCAGCACCACCACTTCTCACCACCAGCACCACCACTTCTCACCACCAGCACCACCACTTCTCACCACCAGCACCACCACTTCTCACCACCAGCACCACCACTTCTCACCACCAGCACCACCACTTCTCACCACCAGCACCACCACTTCTCACCACCAGCACCACCACCATCACCACCACTTCCACCACCAACACTTCTCACCACCAACACTTCTCACCACCAGCACCACCACTTCTCACCACCACCACCACTTCTCACCACCAGCACCACCACTCTCACCACCAGCACCACCACTTCTCACCACCAGCACCACCACTTCTCACCACCAGCACCACCACTTCTCACCACCAGCACCACCACTTCTCACCACCAGCACCACCACTTCTCACCACCAGCACCACCACTTCTCACCACCAGCACCACCACTTCTCACCACCAGCACCACCACTTCTCACCACCAGCACCACCACTTCTCACCACCAGCACCACCACTTCTCACCACCAGCACCACCACTTCTCACCACCAGCACCACCACTTCTCACCACCAGCACCACCACTTCTCACACCAGCACCACCACTTCTCACCACCAGCACCACCACTTCTCACCACCAGCACCACCACTTCTCCCACCAGCACCACCACTTCTCACCACCAGCACCACCACTTCTCACCACCAGCACCACCACCATCCCACCACTTCCCACCACCAACACTTCTCACCACCACACTTCTCACCACCAGCACCACCACTTCTCACCACCAGCACCACCACTTCTCACCACCAGCACCACCACTCTCACCACCAGCACCACCACTTCTCACCACCACACCCCCCCCACCAGCACCACCACTTCTCACCACCAGCACCACCACTTCTCACCACCAGCACCACCACTTCTCACCACCAGCACCACCACTTCTCCCACCAACCCTTCTCAGCACCACACCACCACTTCTCACCACCAGCACCACCACTTCTCACCACCAGCACCACCAACTTCTCACCACCAGCACCACCACTTTCACCACCAGCACCACCACTTCTCACCACCAGCACCACCACTTCTCACCACCAGCACCCACCACTTCTCACCACCAGCACCACCACTTCTCACCACCACCAGACCAACACACACCACACTTCTCACCACCCAGCACCACCACTTCTCAACCACCAGCACCACCACTTCTCACCACCAGCACCACCACTTCTCACCACCAGCACCACCACTTCTCACCACCAGCACCACCACTTCTCACCACCAGCACCACCACTTCTCACCACCAGCACCACCAACTTCTCACCACCAGCACCACCACTTTCACCACCAGCACCACCACTTCTCACCACCACACCAAAAGCACCACCACTTCTCACCACCAGCACCCCCCCCCCACTTCTCACCACCAGCACCACCACTTCTCACCACCACACACCACTTCTCACCACCAGCCCCCCCTCACACCACCACCACTTCTCACCACCAGCACCACCACTTCCACCCACCAGCCCACCACTTCTCACCACCAGCACCACCACTTCTCCACGCACCAGCACCACCACTTCTCACCACCAGCACCACCACTTCTCACCACCAGCACCACCACTTCTCACCACCAGCACACCACTTCTCACACCACACCACCCACCACTCCTCACCACCACCACCACCATTTTCTCACCACCAGCACACCACTCTCACCACCAGCACCACCACTTCTCACCACCAGCACCACACCCCTCTCGCCCCACCCACCATCCCCTCAACTCACCCGCAGCAGCAAGAGAGGCACGCAGAACAGACCCCTTAGGAGCAGCACCAGCAGTACCCATTGTGTTGGGCGCCAAGTGAGGCAGGAGGCAAGCACACGGTAAGCCCAAGATCCAATTACCCCTCACCGGCGTGGCAAGAGCTGGCACGAGACAGAACCATTCCGGCCGCAATGGTCTGCCATGGGCCCATTATGCATTAACGCGCGGTATTGCGATTGGACACAGAGTGCTTGACACGTGTACTTGCACTGCCTCACCCAACCCCCATTGCTTATAGTACTGAAGATGCTGCCCCCAGGAGACTGCACCACGTGCCATCTCCACCACCCTGCCCCACCCACCTCCATCCCCCCCCTCACCCCTTCAGCTTACCTCAACTTACCATTGCCATGCAGAGCCAAGGGATGTTGTGACGCTGCTAGGGGAAGGGTGGTGGATGGGTGGGGGGAAGGGAAGGGGAGAGAAAGGGGGGGGGGGTTGTAAGAAGCTCTCCTCTGCTCCCTTCTTGCTCCAGTGCACCAAGGGGTGGGAAGCTGCAGGGAGAAAGAGAGGAGGGGGTGTGAAGCAACTCTCCTCTGCTCTCTTCTTGCTCCAGCGCACCAAGGGGTGGGAAGCTGCAGGGGGGAAAGAGGAGGGGGGTGTGAGCACTTCTCCTCTGCTCCCTTCTTTCTCCAGTGCACCAAGGGATGGGAAGCTGCTGGAGAGAAACAGGGAGGAGAAAGAGGGGGGAATGTTAACATATCATACTATACCAGAAACCTGTACCTATACCATACCATACCATACCATACCTGTACCTCGCTCACCACTAACACTCTAGCCCGCCCTCTAACTACCCTAGCCCGTGCTGCTGCTCTGCTGCCCTGTATCTGCTGCCGTTGCTGCTGCTGCTGCTGCTGCTGCTGCAACACTGCTGCTCAGCTACTACAAGCTCTGCTGCAGTCTTGCTTGCTGCTGCCAAGTGACCTGCCAGGAGGGGGGAGGGGTAGTGAGGAGGGCGGGGAGAGGAGAGGAGTGAGTGGAAGGAAGGGAGCGTCAACTATGCCAAAACCAGAAAGTGAACAAGCAGGGATTGCAGCAGTGAGAAGGAGCTTACCTTTGACAGCCGAGCCCACCCCAGATACTCCCCTAGCAGCAAACTGCATTGCTGCTGCTGCTGCTGCTGCTGCTGCACCACCGCTGCTCAGCTACAGGTTGGCTGCAGTTCTTGTTGCTGCTGAGTGACCTGCCCGGAGGGAGGGGGGGGGGGGGGGGAGTTGAAGGGAGAGGAGAGAAGTGAGTGGAAGGAAGGGAGCACCAATCAAGCCAAAACAAGCAGGCAACTAAGTGAACGAGCAGGGATCGCAGCAGTGAGGTAAGGGGCTTACCTTGAACAGCCAAGCCAGGCCACCCCAGATAGTCTCCCTTCGAGCAGCACGCGCTGCTGCCGCCCCTCCACCCCACCCCAACAGCACGGCTGGCTGCAAGGGAGAACGGGGGAGGAGGGGGAGGAGGAGGGGGAGTGGGGAAGGGGGGGAAAGGGATGGGTGGGAACGATATGAAAACTGGCTGCTGGGAAAGAAAGTCGGGCTTCAACTGAAACAGAGAAGCAGCAGTAGAAAAGGGGCTTACCTAGAGCAGCCGAGCCCATCCCCAACACTCTCCTCTCAGGTGCTGCTTTCAGCCGGTACTTTCTGCCAAGTGACCTGCAGAAAGGGAGGCGGGGAAGGAGGGGATAGGAAAGAGGAGGGGCGCCAGAGGGTGAGTGTGAAGGCTAGAGGCGCCAACAGCCATAAAGGCACCAAGAGCCATAAAGGCACCAAGAGCCATGAAGGCACCAAGAGCCGCAAGGCAAAGGCGTGATCAAAGTGAAGCAGACTGAATTGGCAGGAGTGAGTCAGGCAAGTGAGCACGACTGGCTCACCTTCAAGAGCCGACCCCCTACCCAAAGATACTCTCCCCATGGCAGGCACCCCTCCTCCAAGCCTTCCCAGTGCGTCCCTGCACGGCCACAGGGGGAGGGCGCGGGGAAATGGCGGTGTAGTAGACCCCCACGCCCCTCCCCACCACCTGCAATGCACACACCCGGCAGTGGTCAGTGTGCATGGCATGGCAACAAGCACAAGCCACGGACTGCAAGAGAGGAAGGGAGGGGCCACTGGTGGAGGCATGGCCACAAGCCACAGGGACAGACCCCAGGGAACCTGCACCTGGAGGCTGTACCTGAGGGAGGGGTGTACCTGCACCTGAGGGGGTTACCTGAAGTAGGGGGTCTGTGGCATGTGAACCGGCCAACCAACCAGTGGCATTGATTTGAAGGAAATGGCGCGAGCACAAGCAAAAAGAACGAAACGACAAAAACACAAGACATGATGTGGCATGCAAGGGTGAGGGAGGTACGGGAAGGGAGGAACGGCCACTCAGCTCTGAGTGATGGAGGAATGAGTGCGAGCAGACGGCAGCTGAAGCACCAGCAGGTGACTCCCTTCCCCGGCGCCATCCTCCCAGCCCTCCTGAGCACGACCTGCACGGCCACTGGGGAGGGGCGTGAGGGGATGTCGGTTTTGACCCCCACGCCCCTCCCCACCACCTGCAATGCACACACACGGCAGTGGTCAGCGGGCATGGCGTAGCAGCAAGCACAAGCCACGGACTGCAAAGCGTCAAGGCTGGAAGGGGAAGGGAGGGGCCACTGGTGGAGGCATGGCCACAAGCCACAGACCCCAAGGCGGGCTGAACCTGAGGGGTGCACCTGGACCTGAGGGGGGGTTCCTGCACCAGAGGGGGTTACCTGGAGTAGTAGGGGGGTCCGTGGCATGTGAGCCGGGGGAACCAATGGTATTGGTTTAAGAGAGAGAACGCGGGCACATGCAAAGAGCAACAATAAACTGGAACGAGGGGCAGTCAAGTTTCAAGGTCAGATTCAGGGGTTAGGGTGAGAAGTACTTACGCTGTTGGTTTGCTGCTGCAGGTGAGTGGCGGAAGGAACGGTAGCGCGGGCACTCGCACTCCTGCAGGGGGAAGCGGTGAGGGGGGGGGGAGGGGAGTAGGGGGGGGGAGGAGGGGGAGGGAGGGGTTGCACGTGGAGGCGCAGTGAGTGGGATCGAAACGACACATGGGAACGGAATGGCTCTACGCATGGCGAAATGGAGGACGAGCGGAAGGAGGGCCACTGGTGGAGGCACAGCGAAACGCCACAGACCCAAGGGAAGATATACCTGTGGTAATGGGGGTACACCTGAGGGCTTAACCTGGGGGGGCTTTACCAGCAGTGAGGGATTCTGTGGGTTGTACACTGTGCTTCCACCAGCGGCACTGTTTTATGAGAAAACGAAATGGCAGAAAAGACGGATGCATGCATGCATAGAGGGTCGGCTACTTAGCTGATGATGTGAGTGCGCGCAGAAGGCAGGTGAGGCAGCGTGCAGAGGCAGATGGTGCCGCCTTGCACCGCCTTGTGCTGCTACCGGAAGCATGAAGACGCTGAAGCACCCCCGGATGCTTGCTCGCTTCCCCGCTTCCGTCTCCCTCTGCTCCTTGCCATCACAGGCCGAGTGACCTGCCAGGGAGGGGGAGGGGGGCGGGGTTTGGGAAGGGGCGGAGGGAACAAGGAGATGACGACGTGAGGACAGGGAGCCACATGTGAGCCGCGCAGAGCAGCGGAGGCACCTGGTGCGTCCCCTGGAGCAGCACCAACACCTGAAGACGTGAAACCCATGAAGCAGCTCCGGACCTGGAAGGTAGGGGAGGGGGAGAGGGGGAGGGTCGCCCATGGTACACATGCACGAGCGAGCGGCAGCGAGGGGACAACGAGGAGGAGGAGACTCGACGCGTGCATGCAGCGACAGCTAAACTTCTAACATAGGCTAACCCACTAGCGACTGGACTCTCTATGCAGGCGGGCGGCTTAAGCAAGCGCCGTGCGCCATGGGCTTCCGGTTGGAGGGGGAGGGGGAGATGAGCAATCGAAGGGGTGGGGAGCCTGGAAAGCATGGTGCACAGGCAAAGAAAAGCAGCATAGCATGTGAGGGAATGGGACCGGGCGAGAACTTAGCTTCGGAAACGGCGCTTGAGGCCGAGGTGCTGGTCGCCACAGCAAGCGACAGGTGACGCTCGGTTGGGTTGCCGTGCATGCGGAGCGCCGTGCATATTGAAGGTTTTCCGGCATCCATGCTCGCACGGGTGTGCTGTCTGGCGGCTCGTCTGGATGATGTCGCACCTGAGGACACATGAACAACGAGACCTGCGTAAGTATAACTCTTAAAAGGCAAGCTTGCAGAAAGCGAAAGTCGGAATTTGAAAGCGTACCTTGAAAATTTCAGCATCCGCGGATTGATGTGCTTGAAACCGTAGTGAACGGAGGGAAGCTATGACGGAGGTTGACGTGACGGGGGATAGCGGATGGGACGCTGCCTGCAAGAAATAAATCGGATAAGAATAATGTCAGAAACTTGCACGATATTAAAAAAGTTAATACCGATGCGAATTGGAAGCTTACATCGTTGTTGTGGTGCAATGAAGCTCCATAAAAGCAGACAGGCAGCGACGGCTGACGACGGACAGTGGATGTTTCAATCGACTGCAAGGGAGGAAAAAGGCAGCGTCAGAAACGTCCACGAAATGTTGAAAAAGCCAACCAGAATTTTCGGAGAAGTTACCTGCGTTGGAGCACGTTGCAGTGGTTCGACGCTCCATTAAAGCCAGCAGCGAGAGCACTCTGAGCCGGCGAACTGATGTCCGTGAAGCAGGAGGAATGAGCTTGGTCGAGGTGCGAATATGCTACATAGAGCTGAGTTGGCGACGAACGAACGCAATGTGGAATTGAATGAGCGAATGTCTCAGCTAGATTGACTTCGAGGAAAAGCAAGAGCGAATGTCGCTCCGAGAAAATGCGTGGTTCGAATGTCCCTTCAGGAAAATGCGTGGTTGGATGGAATGTCGCTCCTGGGAAATGCGTGGTTGGAATGTCGCTCCTGGGAATGCGTGGTTGGAATGTCCTGGCTGGAAATTCCCACGGCCAAACGCAAGGGAGTGGGGGGATTGGGGGTGTGGGGTTCAACACTCGCGGTTCGCTGGACGGCTACAAAAAAAACCGAATCGTGGCCTTTGGAGTAAAAGCCGCGCGGTTCCGAAGCAAAAGGCTCGGAAAACGAATACGGGTCTGGAGGGATGGCCGTCGGGACAAAAAGGGGGACTGATGGAGCTTGAGTCGTTGGATTAATTTCAAACAAAATCGATCTACGGCTCGGATTGGTTGAGTAAACGTTATGGCTGGGCGGGAACGGGTAAACGGCCACTTCGAGACGCGGCAAAGCGACTCGTGTGATCGTGATGTCAGTTGGTAGCCAATAGCAGAGAACCTAACACTAACGGACTGGAGGGAATTGCCTCTGTTGGGGTTTCGGTTGGATAAGGTTCCCTGCTCCCTTTCTGTGTCAGGCAATACCTCAAGTTCAGTCTGAGCCAGGAACGGGAGGCTGGAGGAGAGACTGCGAAATGTTTTTGACGAACTGTGTTACGGGGTTGGAGGGTACGAACGAGGTTCGCGAAAATTGACATTGTGTCAATTAGATGCTGGATGCTGTGTGGTGGTCCCCAGCGGCGACCAATTGTAGTGAAGGGGAATCTGGTCTGATGCGCGCCACGTCTGACCTGCCCCTGCTGGAGTTCGGTGAGATAATTACTGTACACCCTGCCGAAGTACAGCAAGGAAGGCACAGGATTCGAGAATGGTGCTGGTACTCGAGGAAACTCTTAGCGGATACTGCAGCCTCGCTTCAGCAATCCCTTCCTGCTCTGTGGGTCCACCTCACTGCCACGCTATCCTGCGATTGGTGTAACTTCCTCACTGGACTGAACATTGGGAATTGCCTGACATCCCTCCCACCATGTAGCACCCCCATCACCACGACACCAACCAAATATCATCCAGCCAAACCGTGCTGAAACGTTTTTGAACATACTGCATTTCACCTCATCCCATCACATCACAAACCCCAGTACCATTCCTTTCCACCCCATCTTTGGAGGTCGAGAATTCATTTTGTACCATCGGCGTGTTTTGATGTTCCGAGCAAACCATTGGCACGCAGTACGTCAGATCATCACTTTCCGTAGCTAGAATCAAGAACATGCTTGAAGACGAGCACACCACATTCTTCATTGTAAGCTAGTCCGTAGATTCCTTGCGGGTGAATGAGAGATGACGCTGGTCGACATTCTAACGGGGCCACCCGTCCTCCTTCCATTCAAGCACACTTGGTTGCGTCACCACGGGAGCTTATCAACGCGCAGATTACCCTGCCTTAGGAACAATGGGACGGAAAAAATCTATCGGAATAGCCGTCTAGCCGTCGTGACTGCGCGGTTCAGTCGGGATCGATCGGAGCGGCCAAGGGGGGAGGCTCGGAGGGGAAACGAAGCTTCTGGGGAGGATCGGTCTTTGAGAGAGGGTAGGGACTGGAGTGAGAGAGAAAGGCGTTTCGCTGGTGGAAGCAGGGGAAGGGAGCAGGGAGATGAACCGAGGACGGCGAGGGGTAATGCTGTGAAGGCTCCTCGTCCTGTTGAGGGTGACTATAGGAGGAGTAATTATAGAGTAGTGGAGAGGGGACAGGAGGATGATGGTTGGGGAGCCGGTGGGGGTATGATGGAAGGGAGAGGCGGGACGGAGGGAGGGGAAGGGAAGAGGGGGATGGTTCAGGGTTTGGGGACAGGAAGGGTTTAAGCGATGGGGATGGCAAGGAGACGCTCCGGTATAGGGAAGACCGGTACACGTATGAGAGTAAGGAACGTGAAGGGTACGGACGGGGGAGGGGAGGGAGGGGATATGGTAGGGGACGGGCGACAGGGTACGATGAGGCAAGGGGCGAGAATGAGAGGGGAGCGACGTACGGGGGTGAAAAGGAGCGGTACCCTAGAGGCTCAGAGCGAGACGCTAGCGGTTCGGAGCGGTACCAGGGGAGTAGGGAGCGGTATTCTGGATATGGCAGGGAGAATGGGAGCAGAGAAGGGGGAGATGGAGAGACGGAATATCGCACAAGGGGTGGGCAGAGGTCTGACGAGAGTGTGCGGGGGGGTGAGGGTGCGAGGAGCGAGAGGGGGGACTATGGGGGGAGACGGGTGGGAGACAATGGGGTGGAAGAGAGGGGGGGATATGGGGAGGGAGATAGGGGCGGATATGGGAAGAGAGGAAGAGATGAGTTAGGAGGGGAGGACAGGCGTGAATATGGGCGGAGAGAGGGCGGCGGTTATGCGGTAACAGAGAGGCCCGGATACGGGAGGGGGGACAGGGGCGGATATGGGCGGAGAGGAAGAGGATCATATGGGGAGAGCACGAGGGGTGGTTATGGGGGGAGAGGCAGGGGGACATATGGGGGGAGTGAGAGGGGTGATAATGGGGGACGGAGGGGGGTGGTAGTGGCGGGAGGGAGAGGGGCTCATTTGAGAGGAGAGGGAGGGTGGAGTTTGGGGGAAGAGAGAGGGACGATATTAGGAGGGGAGAGAGCGGCGAGTATGGGGGGAGAGGACGGAGGGATTATGGGGGGGGAGGGCGGAGTGAGTATGGGGGGAGAGGGCGGCGTGAGTATGGGGGGAGAGGGAGGGGCGAGTACGGGGAGAGAGGGAGGGGTGAATACAGAGGAAGAGAGATGAATGATAGCGTGAGGAGAGAGACCGGAGATAATGACAGGAACGTGGCACCAGGCGGGCGTCTGGACAGGCGACTGGCACCAGAGGGGCGTCTGGCAACAGACGGGCAGCTGGCAACAGACGGGCAACTGGCAACAGAGGGCCATTTACCAACGGAGGGGTTCATCCGACTCATGAACGTGGACGTGCCGTTTCATGCCGACCCCGGCAAGGACGACGTTGCAGTGTGCGACGGGCTGGTGCGGGCCGCTGCTGTGGCGCTGCATGTGAGGCCGGAGCACCTGCCTGCATCGGCCATCTCCGTCGTCCGCAAGTCCTTTGACGCCCGCAAGGTGTGTTAAGATGTCTCTGATTCAGTCACTAGTTAAAGAGAGAGATTCAGCTGGAATCAGGAAAAAGTTTATCTCAAACCACTGTTTCTCAACAAGCCTTCGCAATCATCCCCCTGCTGCTCCTCTCCCCTCCCGTTTCCGCCTACCTCTCCTGACGCCCACCCAGGCCCCTGTGTTCGCCTATGCCATAGACATCGACGCCTCTGCCCTCGACCGGGCGTTCTCTCTCTCCGCCACGCCCCCTCGCAAGCGCAGGGACGTGGCCCTCAAGACGCAGCCCGTGCTGCCTGAACCGCCCTTCGGCCTCCTGGCTGCACGCACCACTCTTGCTGCTGAGAGTGCTACTCCTGCTGCTGCTTCTCCTGCTGCTGCTGCTGCTGCTGCTGCTGCTTCTCCTGCTGCTGCTGCTGGCAGGAACACGGACAGCAGCTCGAGCCCCCCCTCAGGCGCTGTGGGGGCAAGCGGCAAGGGGGCGAGAGAGCGAACGCGCAATGTGGTGGTGGGGATGGGTCCAGCGGGGTTGCTGGCGGCGCTGGTGTTAGCAGAGGCGGGCGAGCAGGTGGTGGTGGTGGAGAGGGGGCAGCCGGTGGAGGAGAGGGGGCGCGACATTGGCGCCCTGGCTGTGCGCCACGTGCTCAACCCCGACAGCAACTTCTGCTATGGCGAGGTGAGAATATGTGTTGTTTAGGTAAGCTCTAGGTGGGACGTACGTTCATGGTATGGATATTGGGGCTCTGGCTGTGCGGCACGTGCTCAACCCTGACAGCAACTTCTGCTATGGGGAGGTGAGATGAGAGGCATGGCCCATGGGGTTATGACGAGCAGATGGTGGTGGAGCAGGGCCAACCGGTGGAGGATCATGTGCTCAATCAATCCGGATGCATCTTTTAAACTTGAGTCTGGAGCTCGCCATGTGTTATACTTGGCAGGGAGGTGCAGGCACATGGAGTGACGGCAAGCTGACCACCAGAATCGGCAAGAACAGCCAGGATGTGCGGGAGGTGCTGCATGTGTTGGTGCG